AATATTTAACAGACATCCAGCTCACACTAAAGTAGGGAACGCCTCGAGCCACTTTCATGGCATGACCTCCATTTCTTAACATGGCACCTACTGTAGGAATTACAATCATAAGTTACCAAGGTCATCTACAATATTTAGTCGGTAAATTTCCCCAAAGCCTTCTGTACAATATTATTATATGTATTTACAATAAGCCTTACTATGTTTTTATTTTTTACCCTGTTATTTCGTTTAATCAATATCAGTAGCAGTGCTATAAATAACGCTAAGTGTGAGGCAAATATCGTACCCGCGAATACAAATATAAATAAACGAAATAGATTGTGGCGGAGGGTAAATTTAGTGGAACAATAAGCGTGAAAGCTCGACGACTTTGCACAATTACTGAAACAGAAATGTTAGATTATAATATGTAGGTATATTACTTATACATACTGAATTCCTCATTAAAAAATGTTTTAACCCTTCCTTTAAACTGAATGGACCACAACGGTGATTCGCCATTTCACCATCGCGTAAATAGAGTGGCTAATTCACTGAGGCTATTTTAGGAAAGAGACTTTATAAAATTGTATGATCTTGAGGTGTACCACCAAATGTTTCTCTAACATTACATACACATTTCAAATTCTATTCTTCTCCTCCTGCACTCATTTCTATTTCTTATTATATAATATACATTGTAGTTACCATACATTACCTGTAGTGTTAAACTATGAGAACGAAATCAGCTCTCTATATCCGTTGCAACAAATTCAATGAAAGTAATAATCCTGTTACCAATTTTCTTGAGAACTGCTTGAAGTTCTACATACCTGAAACCAATACCATATCGTGTGATTTGCAATGAACTATTAAACGTAACGTAACGTAAAATGCGATTTTCAAATAAGTTTTTTTTTACTGATTATTAGTCCTCAACCTGATATTAACAATAACAGCATTTTTTCCCATTACTAACAACTTCTTTGTACTTCATAGTAGTGTAAGTTTCTAAATAGGTGCAATCTCTGAGGTGAGAACCCAATACACAGTCCAATATTTTAACCACAAATGTCAAGTAGGGGAAATAATACTTTATTTCTCTGTTGATATTTATAATTATAAACGCGACTACTATTTAGTGGATCATTAGCGTATAGCTATATATAGCAAATTACGTACGAATCGTTGATTGGTTAATTAGCATCAATCATCTGCGATATGACCGTTTTATGCTTCAACTAATTAATTAATAAGAAACAGAAATATTCCAGTTACAGTTAAAACTCTGTACTCGCGTATTCGTATCCGCATATTTTTTTTTTTGTAAACCTTGGAATGAAACAAACATTTTAAGTGGATCTTACTACAATACGTTAATGAAAATCCCACCCAAATCCATTGCTGAGATTACAATTCACGAAGGCACAAATAATCAAATAACTTTTTATTTTAACTAAAACTCCAACGGTCACTGATTTGTATTGTTTTATGTCGATAGAAAGTGAGATAGTGAGAAAAACTATATTAACATTATATATATATTTAATGTACAGTCCACTATCGCATACATTTTTATTATTCCAACAGTATTTGTTACGAAAAGTTACCACTCACCTTCCATGAGGTGACCCAATAACCAAATTATTGTATACTTGTAGGTAGGCATATACATAGATTCGTCACAACCTTGTCATATGATGATAGGTGCGTAAAGCCATGAAGTTACTTCATAGTATTGATTAAATAAAGTTCTACTTCGTCAAATTAATAATAGATCTATTCAGTATATTAATAATTTTAAATTAGAAATGGACAGACATTTGAAGATGTTTACATTTATGATGTTAGGCTTAAATTAATTTGATTTTATTATTGTATTGTTTTTATTTAACACTGCCACGTAGTTCATAATTTCTCGATAAAAATAAGCTCCATTTCAAATATTGACAGTCATCAAATTGAAATATTGTAAGAGCTTGTTTTAACAGCTGCATATATATTTCAGTTATTGATATACATGCTATAAACTTTTCACTACATCAGTAGATATTATTTTTACCATATGCATAAACAATCCCAAATAATAGGATAAAGATAAGGCAATATAATGATAGACTACACAAATAACTCGATTTATACGATAGCAACCATATAAAGGCATGTCACTACTAAACTTAAATATTATAGGATCATTACTTGGATGTTAAAGAACTGCTCAGGAACTTAGAAAATTGAATATTGCATAAAATTGAATATTGGAAAGTTGAATACGATGTGAAAAGGCGGCCTATGTTATGTTATAATGTTTAATAAAATAAACGAGCAAACATGCATAACTTTGTCTGCGTTACATTTTGGCCATTTTTGCAATATTTTTTATTGCAGTTGCCCACCTATGGACTATTAATAAGGCTATTTAAAAATCAACGAAGCATTCCTATAAATATTACATTAAATTATTTTTTAATACCTAATCTTACCTCACAAACTTTAGCTCTTTATAATATTTGTGTAACATAAGTATATGTGGGTATAGTTAGATACGAAGCTGAATACTATTCTGTTTTTTTTTCATACCTTTTAGAAAATGGCAGTTGAATGGTTATATTTTTCTAGGAAGGTGATCCAGGCTCTCCCTGCGGATTTGCAAACGAATGCCACATTACCATAATCTTCTTACCGAGAAGCTGTACAAACCGACAGTCTGTTTTATTTTATCGTTAACCCGATGGTATTAGTTTAAGTATTTATTACCGACGGCTTTGCTTGTACGTATTAAGATTAAATAATTGTATCTGCATTACATCTCACTAAACTTCATTTACGTTTTGATTTGTAAGTAATAAGATTCACTACTTTGAAACATAATTGTTTCAGTTACAAATATTGAGAAATTATAATAATATGAACTATATAGCTAATTCTGTATCTTCTATACATAATCTATTCCAATGAATATTTTATATTAATTTAAAATATTAATAAGTACTTAAGTACGAATCCAGATGGTATTGGAAAGTTAATAATTGTAAACAAATGCAGAACTAAAATAAATAAATAAATAATAAAGGTAAATAGATTACGTAATATTATGTCATCTGTGATTTAGATCAAAGAATCTTTTAAATAAATAAAAATACGTGATAAGTCAATTGTTGGTAAAATGGAAATTAAATGAAAATAAAATTTATCTAGATACAAATAAAAAAATAAAAGCGGAACATATAAATTTGTAAATGAAGCAACACGCTTCATTTTTTAACATTAGATAAATCTAAAGTCTTAAATATTTACCGGGGTTAAAGATGAAATTTGAGTCTGTTAATGACCTTTATGGTAATGTATAACAATAAAATGGAAGAGACGGTAATGTCCTTCCGTCTTATTATCATAAATTGCAAAGTATAGAAATATACCATACCCTTATGTAAAATAAAATGTCAGCTCTTGATTTAATTAAAAACTGGAAGTAACCCGATGAAAAAGGGTATAGGTATTATTGCGAAATAGGACAAAGAAGTCGCCGACATTTATATGGGTACAGAAAATTAAGATCTAAATTAAAAACATGGCCTTGCACTGTGTCTGTTGTTCATACGGACATAACGGCTTTTTTACGGGATACCATTAGCTGAATTTATTTAGGCGTTTATTTTATTTAATAAATGCCCGCGTCCGTCCAAAAGTTGCGTAATTTTTAGAAATCACTTATGAATATTTACTTCTTTTCTGGAATGGAATGGTAACAATGAGGAATAATTAATCCGCTATGTAATTCCAAGCAGCTTATGCTCCCAGGCTAGTAAATGTATCCTTTTTTAACTGACTCTACTACTATAACAAAGTAAACATATCACAGATGTAGGTACTATTGAAATACTGAAAACAGAAAGAAAGAAAGAAAGTTAAGTTTATAATATTATTAAAGATAATATCTGTGCACTAAGAAGATTACACAATTAATTATACTCGTAGTTATAGAATCAATATGATACAACGCTGATAGAAATTCTAAATTTTAACGGCATAAGTAGTATTCGTTTTAACTAATATAACTTTTTTTTATTTCTTTTGACTACTTAATGATATAAAAGTAAATTATAGGTTCTATTATTTATGTCATACAATTATAAATATTTTGAGTAAATATACCTACAATGAATTTTAAATATGTCCTTAAAACAAGATCATTATCATTATACCTATATATATATATGTATATAACAATATGTTATATACATATATAGGGCTGCTAGTATCTAATTTATTACTGAGATCAATGGCCAACATGCTTGAATAATAGTATACAAGACATTTTAATTTTCACAAAAGGATGTATTTTAGTAGCATGGAATACTCAAGGTCATGGACGGCACTATCTCCTATTGGTACGAATTTATTTTATATGTAAAACTAATGTCCCTAAACCCTAGTTTAATAGATAGTTATCTATGTAACAATAGAGAGAATTCGTTAATTTTGTTTTGAAATTTACGTGGCAAGTACGGACATATATAAGTATTTTATTAGCCATAATGATTCGTTTGTTTGGATATTGTAATCTTGCGTCTGACTAGAGAATATTTATTAATCTCCCCATTGCACTATAATTTGAAATAGAGATAGATATAAACAGTTTTTTCTCGTAGATAACTATTAGATTCTGTTAATATTTAAATAAAGAACAAAGAAACGACAAACGTGCTAATATTACGTAAATTCACTGGATACCTAATTATATGAATAGAATATATGTTTCATTTGGTTACCTTTAGAAACAGAAAGTATCGTACTAACACATTGTAAGTAATAAAATAGGTACTATTATCGGATATTATTTATTCTTGTACTATTACCTCATCACTGTAACATTATTAAGTGGAAGGGATTCGTAGAACTCCACAATCCAATCTCCAAATATTCGAAAGCGGTACCTTCCTAGCATCCTATTCATATGCATAGTATTAATATGCCACATAACCCATATTATAGCTAGCTATTGTGTATTGTTTCAGATTTTCGGTCAGACATGTTGTGGCGACGGAGGCAGGAAGCTCGGGCGGGTTGATCAAATCTCCACATGCCGACAACACTCTGCAGTCAGCAGAAAGGTAAGGGTATCTAATTGTTATTCCGTTCTAATGTACGAGTATCATTCTTATGAGAAAATAATCCATTCAATGCCTTATTTTTGGGTCATCGCGTCCTTCGAACGCTACTTGAATAAACTAACACCACTGTCAATATAATATTCTGTTATGTACTGTTTATTTACTACTAACTGACTCGACATTCTATGTTTATATACTCGTGTACTATGTACTATATACACGTGAAGTTAAAATAGTTCTTAAGACTTCTGAAATATACAAAAACGTTCCATAAAACCTTCTCCAAAATATTATACAACAATAATGAATGAATTGAATGATTGCTGTTGAGGAGTACTTACATTGTGGCATGACCAAGGGAAGTGGGACTTTTTCTTTTATATGTAAGTAGATGTCAATATTCCTTTTGTTTCTCTATCTTTAATTATAATATCTATTATTACTCATGAGACATATATGCCTATTACCTATTTGCCTTCGCTCCTTCAAAAGTATAATATACTGGCTACTCGCCCCGACTTCTCACGGGTGTATATGTATTATATATATAAATCTTCCTCTTAAATCACTCTATCTATTAAAAAAACAGCTTCAAAATCCGTTACGTAGTTTTAAAGATTTAAGCATACATAGGGACAGACAGCAACAGCGACTTTGTTTTATACTATGTAATAATAATGATAATTAATTGCAGCTGAAAAGTTTTGTAAGCTTTATTTCTGCTTGAAGGCTAAAATGAAGATGTATATTAGGTATGGAGACATCAACTTAATCCAGATGAATAATATATTCAATAACGTAGGGGGATACCATGGCTATTATTCTGTATTTCATAATGTACATGTTGGTATTTATACTATCGTAGACTATAGCTACCATACGTGGCTTTGTCAGCTAATTTAGCAAACGAGTCTTTAATAAAAAGAAAGACTTTCTTCAAGTTGAATAAAATAAATTAGGATATAAAACAGCAGCATCGTTTCATGAAAAAAATTAAGAGCCATTTGTAGAATCCTGCGACAATATGTCACGGGATTAGTACAACCATCAGTACAAGGGACCACAATGACATATAAATGTGCCTTACGGCCTTTTCTATAGACACTCATTCGCTAAAGTTAAAAGACAAGACTGGATCAATTTGTAACATAGATAAGTAAAACACTGGAACAATGTATTTAATTCAAAATATGTAAATATGACATGTAAATTTTATGACAACTTTTCGTTTTATAAAAAAACCTGCCCACGTTTTTAATATATTACTTATTTACTTGAAATAATTACCATAACTGACTATCAATAGATTTTAACTCAGAATATTCATTATGACAAAGCTCTGTGTAAAGCATGACCTAACTGCCTAACACATCTCAGATTTAAACAATATGTACTTTTAGATTAAACTATTGGGGTTAGGTATCACCACTGAGAGTTTTATTTTTAATTATCTTGGCAACAGTTATTCCAAAATAAATGACATAACTGACTCCTGCCAAGGTCAGGTTTGTATAAAACTAAAGATCAAATGTAGTACATTTACATATTTAGTACTCAATAACAACGATTTTATTTTATTTTTCCGACGTTAAATTCATTAATTGACGTCATACAAATAATACTTCTAAAGTAGGTCGTGTATTCAATACCAACTAACAGAAAAAAATACAGCACTCACGGTGGCCTTGCGGCACGCTACTTGAGGCTAGAACGTTAAGGTTTGCATGTGTCCCTATGATGAGGGTAATTTTCAATTAGAAATTATGCATTTCCACAATAATTAACTACATCGAATATGTTTTAAATACATTACTGACAAGTCACTGCGCTAACGTTAATATGTTATAATACCATTAACGTTACAAATAGCTCACGAGCCGCCTGCTGGCATACAACCCTGAACATATGCGCTATCAGAGATGACAAACACTTTCTCAAAGGGGTTGCCGTAACCTTACTCCGGATGAGTTCTAACTCTCTTGACTACTAGTAATCGATTCTATTTATTTATCTCTCTACCGAAAGGTATTAGTAAAATGATACAGACACTGCTGTTTCATTCAACCGTATTAAGAGAGTGATTTAAATATATCTATCCTATGTCTAGCTAGAAATAGACTCGTTTTATTTTATACATGAGTTAAATATTCTGGTTATAGACACGAATACGAATAAATAATTAGAATATCATTGCACAGCAGCTATTATGTACAAAATGATTCTGCACAAACTTTTTTTTGCCTGCAATTTTGTTCAAGTTATTAAACTCGAACTATACTAACCTTACCCACCATAGGAATAAAACATTCAAAATTTACTATTATTTTTGTATTAATTACTTTATAGCGTGACTGTTATTGCGTAAGTGCCTATTGCTACAAACTCTGATACCAGAACTAGTGAAATATCTAAATAATAATAAAAAAATCCCATACTTACTAAGATTAATAAATATAAAACTAATGGTGTGAGTCGTGCAGGTACTAAAATAGGGTTCGGTGGTCTGTCGGTTCATGCCGCTTTACTTCCGATCGGTCCTATTCCTCGTGCAATGCAAACATTTGTATTCATGAATATGAGTGTTTGTAACAGTCTGGGTGTCATATGCATTTAAAAAAGTATTTCAGTATTAGGTACTGCCAGTTATCTAGAACCAAAAGACAAGCTCTGCTTAGCTTGGTACTAGATGGCACTAGATGTCCTCAACTTGCATATAATAAAAAAGGTCCATACTGTTTACAATCTTCAGAAAGTATTTTGGAACCAAAACTGAAAGATAAAAACTTAAAAACCATATAGAATAGGTATATTGCATACAAACTTTATGCAAAATAATATCTTATCTCATTAGTTGATATAATTATGTTTGCAAATATCTTATGAGACGATAAATGACATACCTCCAAAATTACGTGATGTTGATTCTTTAAAAAAAAAAGATCTACAACAACACTTGTGGATACTTATTCTTTTTTAGATTATAATGTATGTATAATAAATATATTAATGTATAATTCCAGATGTCCTAATATGGGTTGGTCATGCGTTGTGGCATGCGCTGTGGCCTCCTTCCTCATGCTCAACACAGTCTCGGCTCTCACATCCGACATGTAAGTATATTACCCTGTTATTACGGCCCTGCTGATCCTTAAGACACCTTTATAAGCACTATTTCTTGAACGCTGTTTGATTAATAGTTATAGAAACATCAATTCAGTCCAAAGAAATAATAACGTCTGTTACGCTATATTTCATTATATAGGTATATTCAGAAATAAAGTATGGTTAACATAAATTATCACCACATTCATGTGAACTTGCCAGCTTGTTTGGCCAATTAGTCCTGAATAAAAAGAAATAAAGTGTAACTTTGCAATAACACCAATTTTCTTGGAAAGTTATACAATACAATGGTTATTATAGTTTCACTATATACACTGATATAGAATAATTTATTTTAACTAAATGACATGAAGCAGAAATCGTAAAGGAATTTGAAATATCTTTACATTCTATATTTGCCCCAATAAGTTGTTTTATAAAGCAGGCTGATATACTATACAATCCATGCAGCTCAATCCAATCTCGTAGGAGGACAACTCCCATTATGAGAATTATATCGTAGTCGACTCACAGATACATAGGCAATTTTACACTATAGATTATAATTAGGCTACGACATAGTTTTTTAATAACTATGAACAAAAATGAACTAAAAGCAACATTTCGACTGTAACTATAATATGAAAAGTGAAGTCTTTGTGTGCTCGTTAATGAGTACAAGCATGAAAAGGTGAGTGTTGACAGGCGGCGGAGCGGATGTAACGCGGTGGCCAGTGGCAATCACTCATCTGTGAAGTTCCTCGCTCCATTTATAGACCCTCTAGTATAAAATTGTAGGTAAATAGTCTATGGATTCAACCTTTCGTTGTTGCTTAGATGATAACGATAGAAAATTAAAAATAGTAATTGTTTTCAAAATCCTATTACAATTACCATTTTTTTAAGCTTATGTGTGAACGTTTTTAGAAGTTTATAATCACGTCTAAAGTTTATAATCACGATCATTTAGTATATTTTCACATTTGATAAAAAAGTTATGGCATGTGGTGGAAAGATCAGCATAAGAATTATTTTCGAATGTTACTAATTTCAACAAAAATTGGTAAACGGAAAAAAAATGTGTTTTGTAGGCAAGAGATGGAGTATTTATTCTCCTTTATATAAACTTATTAAAATATCTACTAAAATAAGTCTCTGCAAACCAAATGTTGGACATTTCATTTTTTTATGTTATAGATCTTCGTTACTGCTGAACATCGGTCATAATTTGAAGAATACCTTAATTTTATTTCATGCAAAAGAGACGGAATGTGTTTAAATCCCATACGAATCCCATTAATTATTGTAATATATTTTCTAGATCTTCTTTTAATCTAAATATCTTCTCTAAAGTCTTCTGGAATTTTCTTTTTGTATGTTAGTATACTATTTTCCTTTTGTATATTGTTAATGTTATTTACGTTAAGTTATGGTATAACTTTAATATAACACCTAGGTATATTGAAACTTCATAATGTACACCTGAATAGATTTTGATAAGGACGCCTCCACTCACTTCAACTACAATTCCATGACATCCAACCAACTCGCTAACTGTTAATTGAAACAATTGTGTTTCTACGCATTATGTTTGTAGAAACTTCCAACTTGACTCCGACACAGCTAGATATGTAACCATGTACTTGAATATCCTACCAAAAATATACCCAGATACGAATATGTATCTAATAGTTTTGAAATATTGAATTTATTAAGATACAGCCTGTAAGGCCGAGACTTTTGACATCAAAATTTCAGACATGAGTAACTATCATAAGATTGCTAAAGTAAGGGCTTCCCAGAGAAAGGTGGTTACTGTGACATAGTAACATCTCGGACATAGTAACTACAAACAAGTAAAGTATTAATATTAGCTTCTCCTCACGATATAGTATGGGTATGCAATAAAATGGTTGATCAACATAAATGATGGCCTATCTCGAAAATTATAAGGTATATATAAATTGCGATAGTCTTCTTAAATGCGAGTATGTTAAAGATTCTGAAAGAATACTACTTCAATAATTTAAAAAAATGTTAATTTGTCGCAATATATATCATTTTTAAGTAATGTAGATGAAAATATGTTTTCCTCGCACTAACCCGAGAGATTAACTAGTAGTACTACAGAACATTACAGGGTCAATAAAAATTAATTCAATCTATGTAAGTACGTATTGTTTATACGTATGTACCGATGCTTTGTTCATTCTGTTGCCTTGTTGAGAAGCACTTGTCATGGCAAGGTACGAGTTATAAGGGCTAATCTAAAATCAATACCAGGTCTGCCATTCTGTTTCCACACGCTTAATTTGCTATGATATGCGACGTTGATAAATTGTTCCTAATGTCTACGGTTTTAGCTAATCGTTCTTACGCCTCTTTTGTCTTTCATAAATCTTATCCAAAATTACCGGCAAAAAAATATAAAATATCTGTAACAAAATTATTTATTGTTTCAACGCCCTTTACATTATGTTCTTTGTTTCTAGATTCGCAGCGGGAAAGTCGGACAAAGAGATATTGGACAACCTTTTGAAAAATTCCCGCTATGACAAAAGACTGCTTCCACCAGTAGATGGTAATTATAATATAATCAGTCATAAGTACTTACCACACAGCCATTACATCGTCATTATAAAGCTAAAATGTTCTGTGTTAAAAGAAAGCCAGTTGTGTTAAAAGACAACAACACATTTTTTATATTATTTTTTTTCTGCAAAAAAATAATCATCCAGTTATTATTCAGGATAAAACTACTTATAGAGCTAGGGAAACTAGGGTATATCGAACAATAATGATAGTACATAATTATAGAAAAAATAAATTTGTACAGGTATGTACAAAAGAAAACTAGAAATATTGTATGCAAAAAGTATTGTATTATTATATAAGATGCATTGCGTTGATAGTTGACTTGTTAAACGTAACATATAAATGTGGGCATAATTTTGAATATACGGACCCGAGCTAGTTTGAGAGAGTTATTACATTAACTCTACCGGTAATTGAATGTGACACTTCATTTATTTAAAGCTTACTTATGCAACTTCTGGAACGGCCACATTGAATAACAAAATATTATCTACATATATACTCATCTTCAATATTACAATATTAAGTTTTACAGAAACTTTTATATATGAAAAAATTAAGTACCTAATTTAAAATAAAAGACTGATATAATATTACAGATCCAGAATTCTGTTGTGGTCTAACATCGCCTAACGACTCTCTGGCTCAAAATAAGGTCGGATATTCTTCGCTCCGGCCTCGGTCGCACAATCGCGGTGCGTTGTGTTCATGTTTCTGAAAAGAGAAATCTCTAAGTTTCCCTGCATATATATGTAAAATGTAGTGTCTTCCATGTTATATTGCAACTAACTCTTTGCACGCAACTCCAAGTATTCAGGTTGGTTCCTTTATCACACGCAATTGTAGAAATTATTCCTACGCTTTAGTTTTACTTGCAAATTATGGTTCATGTATTTGTTTTTCATAAATATCACAAATGAATGCACCTCGCTTTATTGTGTTAATGTATAGAACTCCACAAAGTTTTACAACGTCAAGTTTTAGAATATAGAATTAATTACCTTTAAAATCTGATGTATCTATTAATATAAAAGAGTTTGGTATTATTTTTCTCATCTACATATGAGTATTATGTGATTTCATTCTTTCTTTTCATGCTTTATTACCTTCAATGATTTTCTCTTTTCACAAACATCAAACACAATTTAATTGTCCCTTGTCTTTTATAGAAGCGACTCTCGCATTTATTTTAATTACTTATATTGGATCTGTCAGTTTCTTAATTAAATTTTCAATTACGGTTACATTTTCTGGATTATCACTATATCTGCATAGACCGTAATTTCGCATTTTTGTGTGGCATAAAAATAAATTACAAGCAAAGTACAACAGAATTAACATCGGGTTTTTATTTATTATCAGTGTACTATTAGCACCTTTAGCTTAGGAAGCATGCGATGAATGTTATTGTGTTTATTACGTATATGTATTTGTAATAAGTATCTAGTTATATTAATTGCATTGTTGTTATTGTTGATGTATTAATTTCCAGGTGTCCTCACCGTAAATGTTAGCGTGCTACTTCTTAGTTTAGCATCTCCAGACGAATCTAGTCTTGTAAGTGTTTTGCATATTTAATAATTGTATTATTAATTAATTTGAATTGATGTAACAATAATAAATAATACATTAGTTGGATCTGTGTAAATACATAATGATTTGTTATGTAAGAAATAAGAGTGTATACTGATTTCTTTTATTATTTCAGAAATACGAAGTGGAGTTCTTGCTTCAACAACAGTGGTATGATCCACGACTACGGTATTCTAATCAGTCTCATTACGACTTCTTAAACGCCATCCATCACCACGAAGATATCTGGCTGCCTGACACATACTTCATTATGCATGGAGATTTCAAGGTCAGATTACCGTAATGTAATATTTAACGTAAGTTAAATAGACCTAACTTAATACTATTACGACCTTGGCCTGATTCTCTACAGTAAGAAGTATAGTTGTAAAATCGAATCACTGTTCATCAATGCCACCATGTTATAAATGACTAATTTCAGGCCCGCCCCCGTCTGCTTTTTTGAGATAAACATATCTTATCTCCATCCCCAAGATCTGTCTTCACAACAAATTTAATTAAAAGTTGTTCAGTCATTTAATCGTGAAACAGTATCAGACAAACAGACATACTTTCGCATTTACAATAATAATAGAGATAACAGAATCAATCGTTTTCAAATATTACATACAACGTATTATTACTTACATATTTTTAATCACATACTACACCTTTTATTATAAATTTCAATAAATAAATCTTATGTGTCCTTAAATTTGTAATGTAATGTATTTGAAATAGTTTGTAATGTATATTAGCTATGTTATCATGTTCTACAATAAATTATTTTATTATTTTTAATTATCATTATTTTATTTCCTCTCTTTCAGGACCCTATAATCCCGATGCACTTCGCGTTACGCATATACCGTAATGGCACCATCAATTACCTGATGCGGAGGCATCTCATACTTTCCTGCCAAGGAAGACTTAACATATTTCCTTTTGATGACCCATTGTGTTCATTTGCCTTAGAGAGTAGTAAGTATTTTACGTTTATATATACATAAATGATTAAGGGGGTCTTCCTATGTGACGGCCTGTTTTTTAGGGATATTTTAGGATTTTTTTTCTACGACCAGTAAATATTTAGAGCTTCAAGTTTTTTATCATTTATTAACACATATTTGGACAGTATAAATATAAAATTTCAGCTAAAAATATTCAGTCAAACTAGAGTTACAGCGCTCTGAACACCCCCGCCTCGAAAAAAAGAGCTCCCACTTCCTCCACGATTCCGGCTGATCGGCTTATCTGAAAAAAAAAAAAAAAAAACGGCGTTTTAATTTGTAGGCTTAAAAGCACGGAATGACCTATAATCAAATGAATATAAAAAAAATTGGATTTTTGATAGACATTTGAAATAAAAGTTGCAAATTAGGCGTTTTTTTTTTTTTTGTTTTTTGCTATAAAAAAATCGAAGTTTTGAAAATTTTCGATTGATAATAGTTCATTCCATGCGTTTACATATATTGAGTGTGCCCTGTAAATTTCAAGTAATTCGGTCCAGCCGTTTCTGAGATACAATGGAGGAAAGTTTGAAAAACACAGTTTTGAGAAAAACGCGTTTAAAGTTTCAAGTCCGTTAAAAACTATTAAAATATCAACTTACTCTCAATCGGCGATGCCTGGTCCATAGAGTATTCCTTCCTCTTCCTCGCGAAACTCTTTTAAAGCAGATTGTTCAGCTCTTGAGTCAATCCTGGCTTGTTTAACGACATCACTTACGCGCCGCTCAGAGCGTAAGATTCGCTTTTCATCCCGTTTCTCAACATACGCTTGGGCTTCACGACCAACAGGGCATCCCATAATCGACATAACTTTTAAAATACCTTGAAAACCTTCATTAAAGATAATAACTGCTAAGTAGCTAGCAATTTCAACAACTTTGGGACCAGAATGAAGATGTTTAGGAGCGAAAGTCCAAATCAAAGAATTCAAAGCCTAGGCCTCGGAAACTTGATCGCGAAATAGATACGTCACTTTTACAAGTTTTACATATAACTATTTCAGAGATTGCAGCAAATACAGAAACAAACTCCAAAATGCAATATGCGAAATTCGAAGCGATGGGAACATTCATGTTCATGTTATTTTTAAGTTTTTTGGCCGAAGCTGATGTAAATACCGTATCATTTTGGTGGGTAAAACGGTTTCCACTAAACTTTCTTTTTTTACTACGACCAGGATGAACATTTCCACTCGTACTTCCTTTCCGTCCACTCATTATGAAAAAAAATAATTTGTAGCTGTTGCTCTCTTCGAAGTTCAACCAAGACTAAAATAACTTCGGTAAAATATTATAACAATAGAAATTTCTGTTTAAGTCTGTTGAAACGTGTCTAAACTTGTATAAACAAATATATTAATAAAAGGGAGGCCAGGTATAAAGCCGACGGTACACAATAGGCCCGGTCTCTAACTGCCAACTCACCGCTCCGAACCGCTCTTTCTTTTACCTGCTGTATCTTTAAAACGACTTCGAATTTTCTAAAATCGCTTTACTACCGTATTCTAGACATGTTAAGGGAGCAATTTATGAAAAAAAAAAAAACGATTTTTTCAACCCATCACATAGGAAGACCCCCTTAAATAAGTTATTAATATTTTGTAGTATTCTGTGTAATCGAAACTTAATTCTAATTTATCATTAAAATCATTACATTTTTTTAATTTCTATTGGAATTATATAATATCTGTATATCATGTAATCTAGGAATTATGATAACAGTAATTTATTTTAAGAATTGTTAATAATTATTACTTATTATAAATACCATTTTCTCTACTTCTATCTTTTCAGTATCGTACGAACAATCTGCAATCACTTATGTATGGAAGAATGACGAGGATACCCTGCGCAAGTCTCCTTCATTGACTACATTGAACGCGTATCTCATACAGAATCAAACCATCCCCTGTCCTATCAAGGCTAGTTGGAGAGGTAACCCACACTATAATCAAATTTCACATAACATTTCAACGCTTAATATAACATTACATATTACAAAGAATCCTTTTTTTAATACCTTACCAAATTTAGTAGAATAGAGTCCTCAAATCCGTTTCTTTTTTTACAAGCACTACCCTATACTTTGCACAAGAAAGGATCAGAGATGTTTTAGTAATAGTACTGAAATTCTGATTAACTCTTTTCAGCTTGGTCTTGATTTACGTAAAAAGTTATTTTTCATGACTTTCTTTTTTATGTCATCGTCAAATCTTGTAGAAGCTTCAAGTATGTTATTTAAGTAAATAATATATATATTAACTGAGACAGATACAATTACATAAAGCATAGCTAGCGATTTCGCATGTTCATTAGTGACTTGTTCATATCGTATGTGTTTAGTGATACGTTTGAGAAATTAGTAGTAGATCTATAAAAACATTAACCACATACAATGTTTAACGTGTTAGTAAAGTTTGAAATTTAGAATGTAAGAATGTGTTAACATCTTTGCAAGCAGCTGATGGTATTTCACTTTATGAAGACGATGAAGAGCTGACATGTAATCTTTGCCAGAGACGCTTTGAGGAGCAAGGTACTTGACTTGCACCGGACAATGCACCGTTCTGTCCGGTATCGTCGTATTTGCCGTATATTTTCCGCTTATGTGTGAGTAAATGCGTAATTGTGTTATATACAAGTGATTGGTGTAAAGAAAGCCGTCAGAAAAGGTACAGCTCATAATTCGTAACACATTCACGGATCATTGTATGTTTTCCAGTTCATGTTTCCATCATTCGCATGCATGTAAAATATTAAGCACGTGTTTATTGAATATCTATACATAGTTTTGTTCTCCCCGTTATTTGTAAATCTTCATTGATGCTAGATTTACATTCGTAAGCATATGAACACAACACGCATTACTCATACATTCAGGATAGTAGTTTGTTTATTAGAAATTGCTAATACGAAATTTAAATTCATTAACTACAAGGCCTCTGAATGGAGTTATTTGGAATTTTATATCCACATTTTACCTACAACCTCCACTATTTTTCATTTTGGAACAAAATACAATGATTGATATCATCATAATTATTATATCACATTGTGTTGTGTTCACGTTTTATTTAACAATATTCACTTCACAGGAAACTACAGCTGCCTAAAAGTCGACCTAATATTTACTAGAGACAGAGCGTTCTACTTTACTACAGTATTTATCCCTGGAATTATTCTGGTGACTTCCTCATTCATCACCTTTTGGCTGGAATGGAACGCCGTGCCAGCCCGTTCCATGATAGGTAAAATAATTGGCTGGCGATTGGGAATGTTCTCGGTCTTGCATCCCATTTTTTACTCTCTGAATGTCGCTGAGGCTGCCAAATAATCACGCTATCTTATATAATTTTGCAGGTTTAGCTTACACATTGACAATGTACATAGATAGCCAATGGACGCGCACGTGAAACGTTTATCTATTATTTTTAGATATTGCTTGAAATTTTTAGGTAATTACAGCTGCCTGAAAGTGGATCTCATCTTCACGCGGGATAGATCATTTTACTTCACCACAGTTTTCATACCGGGCATCATTTTGGTGACATCATCTTTTATTACTTTTTGGCTGGAATGGAATGCAGTGCCTGCTAGAGTAATGATAGGTTGGTGTTTTATTTGCTTAAACATTAACTAAGTACCAAGTCCTAGTTCTAGTATTGACTGTAAGTACCAATTCGTTGAACTGTACCACAGTGTAGTCAATTTTATATAGGTACATTTTAACAATGAAAATTATGTATTAATTAGTTTTAATAAGAAAATAATGAATGACATTTTATAAAGAGCCCTTATTTTAGTTTTAGGTAGGTACTTACTTTTAGTTCAAACTGGGTAATACTAATAGTTAGACAGATATGTGCATTAGCTAATTATTCTGACCTGATTTAGAAACAGCATGACATATTTGCATTCTTTTGTTTTTTACTTAAAGTAGCTTATTTATTATCACTTTAGACACTTACTTTTTCTACTATATTATCAGCTTTTGATGTCATGAATATTTTTTAATTTATTTTTTATATTACAATTTATATTTTAGGTTTATTTCAAATTAACTTTCTCGTATTGTTAAATGTTACGAATATTTTGAAACAGGTGTAACAACAATGTTGAATTTTTTCACAACATCAAATGGTTTCCGTTCAACTTTACCGGTGGTCTCAAACTTGACCGCTATGAACGTTTGGGACGGCGTCTGCATGTGCTTCATCTACGCATCACTGCTGGAGTTCGTATGTGTCAATTACGTCGGTAGAAAGCGGCCTCTACACAACGTGGTCTATCGACCCGGAGAAAACCCTGTTACACAGGTAAATAACAATTCTATTCATTTTATCTTAATAATGTTTGTCTATATTTTCAAATACGTGTGATCGATGTTGTTTTCCTTAGCGCCGCATAGCAGCGGTCCCAAAGCACTGTTGTGATAATTCAAAATGGCATTTCTTCCTTGATAATCTAACATTTAGTCATTATACCTGTCTTTGAATATACCGATGAGTGTTTCACTTGTATCTATTTGACCCTGTACGTCCTTATTATTGTAGTATTAACATTTTTCATACCTGTAGCACAAAATCTATATTGATAACCTTAACAAACTACTCACAATTATAGTGCTGAAAATTATTTTTATTGTGTATTGTTTTGTATATACAAAGAGGCATTGAATTAATTATTATTTATGAGTAATCCACTGAAGCCTCTAACTTTACCAATACAGCACATATTTAGTTATTCGACGATAGTTCCTACACATAATAAATTCACGAAGGATCTATGAATGTTTATAATATTACAAGTTTTTTTTAATGTTACCTTCTATAAATTATTATTCACTACAGTACGTAAATTCTAGTGATAATATATAGTATTTACTCATGAAATGTCTATTAATATAAAAGCGACTCCAAGTTACTTATGTAGACCCAAATTCCTTCGTGTATTTACATATTTCTTACTCTTTGCAATGTTTTCATTAAATACAACAACAAGACATAGCTTACAATGTATATTAGTTTTGTACACAACTTTATTAGCAATGTCATGTTGTTAAATGTTTTTACTCGTACTATTATTATTATTATTATTAGCATGCTCTAAGTACCTATATTTAATTTATTGCATGTATTTTGAATTATATTTTTATATTTATCTATTTGATAGGCCAGAAATATACACTTTTATTCTTAGGCAATTTCACTATTTTCGAATCACCTAAAAATACCATGACTATTTTGTGTGGCCATATATTATCGTTTTTATAAATTTATTATATTTTACTTTCATCTATTGAACATGATAAATATCGTATCATATCTAAAATTAAAACCAGAAAACATTGCAAAGTTAGTGCTAGAATATCACTATTGGTAAATTTGTTAAACCTTTGAAAGTAAAAACTATTTACCACTACTATGCTTAAGTGAAATTATTGCACTCGGAAGTGACAGTGGCCATATAGGCTACATGTTCAAACACATTAACATTACTTAAAAGTTCAACTTCAAAGTCCATCCATATACATAATGTATCTCACCGTATGGTTAAAAAATATTTTACTGTACCAAAACTCGGCCATAACAATTTAGTCTACGTTCACAAATGCACAACGTCAGACCATCTATCACGAGTGAACAAATTGTGTGTGTGATGTGTTCACAGCGTCTGCCCGCTGTCCTGAGCAGAATTGGCATTATACTGGCCAGCCCCTTGGTAAGAACCTTCGCCACAAATACTGGCACTTTCCAAACATTTCGCTGTTATATTTCTTTACACTAACCGAAAAGTTTCTAAAAGGCTTTATATTAATAGCACCACAAAATAGTATGCAATGGACGCAACAAAATTATATCATGACACAAAGCTGTTTAGAGTCACATTTTACAATGCCTTTGAGAAACTAATGTAAAGTATATGTTGCACTCTCATAAAAATTATATTAATAAACTATTAAAATATATGTTACAGTAGAAAAAGTAGTTTTAGGAATTACATACTGCGAATTAGAAAGGAATATGACAGACGATAATGACATTAAGACGAGAGCACGAATCTGTCTGATACCTAATACTCGTACCATAAGAGCATGTATTTCTTCTAAGCTTATTTTATACTTAATTGCTCTGTTACAATAAATTTAAAGGTAATCGCTTCATTCAATAAAACATTTTTATTATGATATAACAACCCTCTTTATCTTAGTAGGACCTATACTTTACACGCATATTCTAAAGCACCAATTTAATCATCCGCATGGTATATTTGTAGATCATATACTTCTGATATTTTCAGAAGTCATTAGAAATGTATTGAGGCAAAAGTAACTAAAATATGAAAACAATTCATTTTACAATAAAATATTTAAAAATAACATTAGACAATATGAAGACTTTGAGGCTTTAAATTTACAAAAAAACAAGACTGCAGCTTTTGCGCATATAGAAACAGAACATAAAGTTACATTACATTAACATTAATTTTAGAATGTTCTATCAAGTTTAATGTTAATTTAATGTATCTTGTCATGCTTCAGCTAAAGTAAGTTGTTGTCAATTTACGTAGGAGGCGATGGCATTCCTCCATTGGGCAAAGTCAGAGACGCCCCAACCGGAGCCAAGTGGTGCTGTAAGTGATGACAATGAAACGTCCAAACAAACCATTTGCCCGCATCCTCATCTTTGACCTGATATCACGAAAACTAACGCATTATTTTATTTAACGCTGCTTTGGATTGCTACAGCCTGTAAGTATGCTCGAAAAACACTGTTTAAAGATATATGAACCTAATTAGAAACTGTTCACTATCATATCAGATAAATTTCTAAATACATTAATAACATTATGAACTATTAATAAAATACCAGATTTCATTTGTCGTCTATTATAGTACCTACATTTAGTCTGCAAACCATTGTCTCCTTTGAGCTCTGCATCAACCTCCTTACATCGTAGATCTTTTGTAGTGTAGTTATTTTAGGGGAATGGTAAGTTTTTAGACGAACCAGGTATAATTATTGCAGGGTGATAAAAAACGGGACTCGACAGGCGCTGCGGACTTAGTCACGTGTACAGCGTGTACTGGTGCGCCTGGTCCATGTACGCATACAACCAATAATGGAGGCGTGTCAGAGGTAAGCAGTAACGCATTGTGCTGTTGCTTTCAGAAGAGGTGGAACCTATCATGTAGCTATATCACTTTTTTAAAACATGTAAGATATGATCTATGAAATTGTTCCATTCCAAAAATAATAATAATAATCTCAGGATAATTTACACAGCGCCATCTAGACCCAAATTAAGCTACCTAAAGCTTGTGTTATGGGTACTAGACAACTGATACAAATACATAGATTTTTTCGTAAATACATAAATATTATATATAGAAAACACCCAGACCGATACTAACTATTATATCTACTCATGAATACAAATATTTGTGCCGTGCGAGGAATCGAACCCGCGACCATTGGAAGTAAGGCGGTGTGCTAAACCGCTAGACCACCAAGGCCGTCAAAACGTGACGTGTAATATAAGAAAATTGGTGATTCTCGTACTTTTGATAATTAAATCGTTATGATAATATTCTAATTTTGCAATTGTAATAAATTTATTGCAAGAAACGAACCGACTTGTTCTATCCTTGTCTTTATTCAATCCTAGTATAAACTTAACTTATATAGTCACGTTTTACAGTTTAGTAGACTTTGTGCTTTGTTGTTTGTATTTAATATTGTTAAACAGTAAACAAAAGTTTACTGATTCCATTAAAAACTACATTTATATAGTTACCTAATATTAAAGAAAAACTGAATCTTATAACGTTTTGTTTTTTTTTTTGCTTAGATGTGTGAAGATTAACTTGTATTTCTGCCTATATTATGTCATGCAGTCATTTATACACTGCTCCCTCTCTGTCTCTTCGGGTAAACTGACCCGTGATCGTAACAGTTACTGCCGCAATATAACGAATTTAAAAATTGAAGTACAACTTGTAAAATACATCTTTTCTTAAATATTATTAAAAATATGTGTATACACAACATTCGCAGCCTAAAATTGTATGTCAGTAAATACCGACATTCATTCATCTCATATTTCGATTTATTTTCTAATTTAGCTATTGAAAGTAATAAGTTGAACAGTTTTTTTCGATAAAATGCACACTCATTCGCTTATGATACTAATTATGTTCTCATGATTGGCTTACAGTGTCATCATTCATTAGCGAAATAATTTCTTTCAGCCATGTTTCGTCCAGGTTCGCAAAAAAGAACCCCCGCACCCGATCCGAGTGGCGAAGACAATCGACGTGATAGCTCGCATCACCTTTCCTACTGCCTACGCTGTCTTTCTCATCTTCTTCTTCATCCACTACAAGGCGTTCTCTTAATGCTGCCTCTACTTTTTAATAGATTGTATTGGCCGCTTACGTAAAGGAACAATCGTATCTTTTGCAGCTCATATCTTATTACGTCACAATATGGACGAAATTGAGCCATTTACTCTACGTTCTTGCTGAATGTAAACAATCGTTTCGATTTGTGGTTATACTCATAACAGTGATTGTATTCAAGATTATAATGTAAGGGACATAACAACCCGAGTACTGTCATTGCTGTTTTCAATCGTTAATGCGCGCCGATGATTAGATTCGAAAGAGATGATGATTTTTTACGGGTTTTGAAATAGTTTTCTATAAAAAGTTCATATATGTGACTGTTTGTATTATACCTATGAAGTAAGAATACTTGAAACTTATGATAGGATAAAGAGGGATCAAAACATATTGTGTATGAAAAATTCTTATAGCAATGTTAATCGGATTCTTGTGTAGGTAGGCAATGATCTAAGTGAGATCTGAATGATAGATTCAAGTTGGAAGTCAATAAGATATTCGACACCCAAAGAAATCTATTTCAAACCTAAAGACGGTCCAGTCGTATGTATAACTATTTATTGTTTAAGTTTAATATTTTTAAGATAGCAAAAGACATTATAGGTTTTATATTTACAACTACTCATTATTATAACCTCACCATAGCTGAACTAGGTTATTAATATACTTATACTTAACCACATATGTTGTGATAATATCATAATACTTAAATTTGCTTTAAAGTTAAAACGTGTAATTAGATATGCATCACTATATGAATTGGTAGTCGATTTCATATAATTTGTTACGAATATAAAATCTTTATCAGTGCTTACACTACAAATAATAGTATTTGATATCATTTGAATTTCACTTATTTGATGTAGAGGTAGTTTTTAAGTCATCAGCCTGAGTTCCTTTCTCTACTTATTTCAGCCGCCAAGCAGCTTGCTTAGCAATCTGCATATAGGTTGAAGGGTTACTGTATTTCTATGCATATATAAGGCTGCGAAATCGTAGGATAATAGGTATATCATATTAGTCCTCAAGAATAGTAAACGCATGAGATGTATTGTGTCACATGATAACTTGGTGTCATAGTACTGTTCATATATATAAGCCACGGTTCCCACTTAACGCCACTTACCTAGTATCCGTTTTTTTTTTAATTAATGTACCCAATCTTCACATGTAATAAACTAGTAACCTTTCTGTGTTAACGTTTCACGTAAAAACTTCTGAAGCAATTAGGATGATAGTTTCTTATTAATAAACAAATCGACTCTTAAATTATTACAATACGCCTTCAACTTATTATTTAGTTATTTTTTTAATAGTAAAAAAAAATGTATGTAGACTATTTTAATTCTTCAATGTAATTTATTATTTTGTTTTCATATGTTTGCTATGTATAAACGATCATATACAACTAAAACTTATTATATGAAATCGCGCTTTGGCTAGGTATAGTGTTTAGTGAATTTATGGGTACGTACCTACATTTATTACGTTAAAATTATAATTAGACGTAGATGCGTAGATAAAGCTCAAGTTGATATTATATTATTATTGTAAAATATTTTATATAAACACGTAATTTTTTTTGTGACCTATGTGATTACGTAGATTATGTGTACCTAATTATTATGTTGATGTTAAACCATGAAATGCCTTTTACATGTCAAATAATTATTTTTTGCCTGATATAACTTTCTTAGTCGTAATTCAGAAATTGATGTATGTGATTCCAGCTGTAAATAATGTTAAAATTGTATCACACCTGCCGATACGTAAGGTATAATGTATTATTATCTTTCATACATGTCAAAATTGTATGAAAACATTATTGTGGTGTAACCTAACTAAGAACCTATCGTGAATATTGTGCTGTGAGACCATACCGTCACCTTTTTCGCGTAAGTAGAATGCCTTAGCCTTCAGCAGTTGTTATAATTAACTTATAATTAACTCTTATAACTACTTAATAAAATGTATAGGCCTCAATGATACAAGTCCACTATGAAATATATAATAAACACTCAATTTCAAGGTATATAATATGTGGACGAGGAACTAATAGTAAACACAATTAATATTGTTTTCAATTACAAATGTTCAATTTCATTATACACCATCAATAATTGCCTTTTGCTTATTATAAAAGCGGACCAACGAGTCAACTGTTTTGAATGAAACTTTTATATATAAAGTGTATTAAATAAATACATTTTAAGGTAATGCGTTTTGGCTGTGCTTTGAAACCAATTATAAATTTATATATTATTGTATATATACATATGTATGTAATTTAAGTACGCTCGATCAAACGTGCTTGAGAGGTTCCGAAATATCTGATTATATCGATTATTTACAGATACTCGTAACCATGACCATAATTATCAGTCATATTATTGTTTACTTGTTATTGTTACATATTTCACTCACAATACGTATATTGGTACCTAAGTAATGCTTGCATTTGACAATAATATAGGGGTAGGGGAGCGGGGGGCACATTGTTACAATTTTTAGATAAATGTTAATATGACAAAAGCTATGAAACAAATTATACATTGGATTACTTGCAAAGTTAGTATGTCTATTTAGCTATTAAAATAAGACTGAAAATTTATTAAAATGTATGTAATTTTTTCACGATGGGAAATTTAACTAAACAAGTCGATTGTAACATCTTACCCCCCAATTGGGGCTAGTTGTTACATCATCGGGGCACGATGTTACGGTAGATAAATAAACACAATCATTAATTATACATATTTTTTTATTATTATTTTAAAACATTATAAACAATAAACATCATTTTAAACAGTCTTGCAATATTTAAAACCAGGAAACCAGTCCTGCCCAGCCATATTATTTTTATACGAACTGGGGGGAATATTTTTTAAATCGAGTTTTATAGAAATAGAAATAGAAATAATCTTTATTCAAATAAACTCATTACAAGCACTTTTGAATAGTCATATTTTGATTCTACCACTCATTCGGAATGCAGATTCATCACAAGAAGAATGAGCAACAAACTTGTGTGTTGCTCTTTTTAATAGATGTTTTTTTTATATAAATAATTACAGTATAACACGCACTCATTATTAGTGTAATTAGATAATATTGTCAGTGCTATGGATTTGAAGTTTTTCTATAAAAACATTATTATCATTAACGAATTCTTCAACTTTATAGTAAGCTTAAGCGTAGTTGTTACATGTAACAACTTACCCCAAAAAATTGTAACTACTTGCCCCATGATACGTTTTTTAATATAAATTGAAGTCATCATTAATGTATATCAATATCAGAATAAAATAATATTGCAATTTCAAGGTAGATATGTAATGAACGTTAAAGGTTTAAAACTTGGTTTACTTACTTGGTTGAAATCGAGACACATGCACACAACCTAGCTCCTTGGCGCTTGGCGGGTCATTGATAGTTTTTATCTAGTGCACGACGTTATAAGAACACAAATGAGTCAAATTATATCCATCAAAGAGTTTAAAATCCCGGTAAAAACGCGTGTAACTTCCTACCCCTGTAACAACGAGCCCCCCGCTCCCCTATTATCTTATTTATTTACTATGATTTCAAAGGATATTCCATAATGAATATTATTACTTTGTATTATTGGGTAATTGATTTTTATTTATATTGCAATATAAAGAAAATTAAAGTGGTAAGGAAAGTTTACAAGACCATGATCTGGTCATGGATAAAAGGTTACTGTATACAACTGAAATGAACTAAACTATCATGCGCAAGAACGTAGTCAATATTTTAAAGAAACTGTTGCATAAATATGTATGTTATATGGTTAGAGAAAGACCTGAAAAGACATGTATGGGCAGTAGAAAGATGATATGGCCGGAAAGGGAGTGAATAAATAGAAAGGAGACAAATGGAAAACAAAAACATTTTACACGAACTCCAAATGATACGTTACTAAGCAGAAAATTTTTGTCCATATCGATACGTAGACTATATTTAAAAAAAAATTCAGCATTAATTTTAAAGAATAAATAAATTACAGTAGTTCTTAACAATGTAAAGAAAGAAATATGTTTCTACTACTGTTAAATACTGTAATAAGTACACTCATGTTTACACTTTATTGTTATATATACCTATGTATTTACCAAACGCGTTCAATCAATTAATTAAAGACACTCGTGGTGACCCAATACAAGATAATACCGTAACTATTGTAATTGATGTAAAAATTACCTAGGTACCTATGCGTTTGATCTCTTGTATATAACTAATCAAGTTATAATGCGTATTATTTATAGTTAACTTTCATTACGTTAACATTCTTTAAAGTTTATTATAACTTTACCTATGGACCCTGTTACGACTACAAATTTGTCAAAATTTTTTGGAAAGACACAAAGTGATACTATTTTAAATTCGCAGTGTTTTATACAATTTTAATTATAAGATAAAAATAACATATCATTCGCTTTATGAAATACATGTATCTATTAAAATTTTATGCTAATTACCTGTTAACCAAAGCTATATATTCTATGCTGCCTTTATCTTTATACGACATTTGTTATTATATTAGATTATTTTATCAAACGTAATTGAAGCCTTTTTAAATATTTATGAGCGTGATAAGTATACTAAAAAAGTAATGTCAACATTACCTTAAATCTAGATTCGCTATAATGCGTATCAACTTACAACACATCAATATAAAATACATACCTGCCTACTTTAGTTTTTAAACTTTAAAAATATCTAAATTGTCACTATGACGTCCAAATCAATAGCACGTCAAGACAAGACAGTTATACTTATAACTAATAGGTATATATATTCTTCTCCGATAATATTTTTATTAGGGATAATAAAATAAGGAGATGTAGATAATATAGTTATTAAACACGTCATGACGCAATATGCAAGAAAGTAGTATAACCTGTTGCTAATTTGTATACCTAATTTTAAAAAAAAGTTACTATATTCCGAATCATACTTAGGGTTATAATATA